CTTGTACATATTTGTCTGAATCAGGTTGAGCTGAGCTTTCCATCAACTGATAAACTCTTTTAAAATTTTTCCTCATTTATTTTGTGCAGCCACAGACTTTTTTTAGAACAACTTTTAATTTCAAAATTAAATTTTCCAGACAAAAAAAAAAAAAAAAAAGAAGCAGTGTGGTGAAGGAGAAGCCTGTGTCAGCCAAACAGTGAACAGTTTCCAGCCACACCTGAAATTACAGGCATGATACAATGAGAAAGAGTGTTTCTTCTTTCTTCTTTCCTACATCTTCAGATCCTTTCTTCGCTCCAACAGGATTTAACTCGTTGCTATGTGGAGGCACAGCACAGGTGTCTGACTGCAGAGCCCATGTTTCCTGTGCCACCTTGGGGGCCAGGGCCAGGCAGGGCTCAGGCATCTCCTTGGGGCTCGGGGAGCCCAGCCACGGTGACTGACAGAGGTCTGGCAGCATCCAGGGATGTTGGGTCTTGGAGCCTCTGCTCAGCAGGACCAGTCCTGCCCATCCCTCCCGTGGCCAAATCCTCAGGGGAGAAGCACGAGGGACACGAGTGCCTGCTCACTGCAAAGAGAGCATCGGGAGCAGCAGCGCTGCTTAATTAACTGAAACAACTTGAATTGGCTTTTTTTTAACTGGTGTTTGGCAACATTTACATTAATTAAGGATGTGTTACAAGGAAACTGGTCTCGCAGCAGAAGTTTTATCAAACCTTATACTCCATTACATCCTGCAGGATTAATTCTTTTTTCCAAAACCTGTGGGCCAGAAATTATGGTAATTAAACCAACACTTCTCTTGTTTACAAGAAGTAGTATAACAGAGTAAATTCCAAATTAAATGAAGGCTTTTTCTTTTTCCTCAAATGAATTTTTCTCTTTTTTCAATAACACGGTGTGATCAGTTACAACTGAAATCAACAGTAAAGGTTGAACTACCAAGTTTCTGTAGAAGGAACAGCAGACTAGGCTCTGGTTCCCTTGTGAAAACACATGAAATGTCAGACATGAAAAAACACACTCATTCTCTTTCTGCTGTAAGAGTGTTTTATTAGGCCACTGTTATTGGTTTAATAAATTCCAAGATTTGGAGAATTATAACAAATTATGTGGTCTAACAGTAATATTTTATTAGTCAAAATTAAACTAATTTTTAATTTCTTCTTTTATTTTTAAAATTTTTTAGGGTTATGGGCAAGATAGGTTCTCTCTGCCCCTAAAGGGATTATTTGCTGGGGTTTTTTTTGTTGGGCTTCAGGAAATGTGAAGTTATATTGACCATTTTTCATCTCTTCGTGTAAGATATGTTGGGGAATGTTTGAAAACTCTAGTTGAAAGTCGTGCAGGGGAAAAACCCAAAAACAAACAACCAGAAAAGACTGTACCTACAGCCATGACACAGTTCAGGGAAATACAGTGCATAAAAGAGCTGAGATTTTCCAAGCAGTTATTCCATGATCAAAAGTATTGTCAAGTCTTTTATTACTTCCTAAAATTCCTTTAAATTTTCTTGAACATATGTGTGTGCATCTGTGTGTGTCTGTGTGTGTAAAATGTTCACAAATATCCACTGATACTGTATTTATGGGGTGCTCCGATGAAGGAAGGAATGATGAATCTGATTCCTGGTTCTCAGAAGGTTAATTCATTATTTTATGATACTATATTATATTAAAGAATACAATACTAAACTACATTAAAGAATACAGAAAGGATACTTACAGAATGCTAAAAAGATAATAATGAAAACTCGTGACTCTCTCCAGAGTCCTGACACAGCTTGGCATTTATTGGCCAGTAAGTCAAAACAACTCACAGTAGAAACCAATGAAACAATCACTTGTTGATAAACGATCTCCAATCACATTCCAATGGAGCAAAACACAGGAGAAGCAAATGAGATAATTGTTGTTTTCCTTTTTCTCTGAGGCTTCTCAGCTTCCCAGGGGAAAAATCCTGGGCGAAGGGATTTTCCAGAAAATATGAATGTGACACACTGAAGCTTGTTACTTTTGATCCGTGCATCCATTTACATATACACATGATTATTCGCACACACGCATTAATAAAATTCACCCTAGCCAACAAAAAAGAAGGCAGAAAATCACATGTAGCCAGCAAATTGTAAGATATACAAAATAAGATATAACTATTTGCTCTGTTTTGTTATTCATCATCCTAGTTTATTCTCATGTAGGATATTAATTATTCATTTTTTAAGAACAATAGGAAAACATGAGTACTGTTTAATGGCCAAGTGGGATTTTCTAATGAAAGACTTATAAGTGCTTCATTGTAATGAGGAGCCTTTTTACAAGAACATTTATCAAGTATGAGAAGTAGTCATAACTTCTTTTCCAGACTATGATATCCTGGGCCATGGAAACAATTGCATTTTGGTTATTTACAGAGAAAATGAGAAGTGAGTGACAGTATTTTCTTTTTCTAAAATACAAATCATTGTGTGAACTAGCTCCCAACTAGTAAACCACACTCACTATATTCTTAATAACAGAGAAGAAAAGAGTGGATTGGTGAGCAATCCCACCTGCACCTCCAAGGTTACTGAGAGAGTTGGTGGAAGAGCTCACCAAGTCACTTTCAGTCATTTACCAGCAGTCCTGGCCAGCCAGGGATGTCACAGTTGACTGAAATTAGCCAGTGTGCCACCCATCTACATGAAAAGCTAGAAGGAGAATTCTGGGATCTCTAGGTCTGTCAGTCTGACCTCGGTGCCAGGGAAGGTCCTGGAGAAGGTAGTCTTGAGTGCTATGATGTGACATTTGGAGAACAACCAGGGATCAGGCCTAGCCAGGAAGGGTTTATGAGCAGCAGGTCACGCTCAACCAACCTGATCCACTCCTATGGCACGTGACCTGCTTAGTAGATGAGGGAAGTCTCTGGATGTTGACTATTTAGACATTGGTAAGATGTTTGACATAATTTCTCACAGCACTCTCCTGGGGAAACTGGCTGTGAGCTGTTAAATATCTTTATCAGTGATCTGGATGAGGGGATCCAGTGCACTCTCCATCAGTTTGCAGACAACACTGAGCTGGCTGGGACTGTTCTGCTGAAGAGTATAAAGGTTCTGCAGAGAGATCTGGACTGGCAGGACCAACAGGCCAAGGCTAAGGGTATGAGGTTCAGCAAGGCCAGGTGCCAGGTCCTGATCTTGGGTCACAACAACCCCTGACAGTGCTACAGACTGGGGGCAGGGTGGCTGGAAAGCTGCCTCATGGAAAAGGGCCTGGAGACACTGATCCACAGTGGCTGAACATGAGCCAGCCGTGCCCAGGTGGCCAAGAAGGACAATGGCATCCTGGCCTGCAACAATAATGTGGCCACCAGCTCCATGGTAGTGACTGTCCCCCTGTACTTGGCACTGGTGAGGCAGTACCCAGAATCTTCTGGCTTTTTTTGGATTTCTCATTACAAGAACTATCTGAAAATGCTGGAGTGTGTCTAGAGAGGGGCAATGGAGCTGGTGAAGGGTCTAGAGCACAAATCTCACTCTAATTCTATTTTCATAATATGAAAAGTTAAGAAATTTCAAATTTTACTATCAATAATAAACATAATAACTATTAAAAATGGAAACTTTTAAATAAAATCTAATCCTGTGGTTTTTTGGGGTTTTTTTTGTTTTTTTTTTGTTTGTTTTTTTTTTTTGTTTTTTTTTTTTTTTTTTTTGTTTTTGTTTTTGTTTTTTGTTTTGTTTTTAGCTACTAGAGAAAAAGAAATGGCCTTAGATAATTTTTTAGATTTTAAAAAAGAACAATGAGAATTAAACTTTCTCTTCCACTCAAGCCAGTATCATTTCAGGTCAGAGCCAATCTTGAATCATTTTCTTGATTTATTGCTTGACATGATCTCCAATTTTAGTGATCAGTCATCATAATAATAAAGTACAATCATAATCTATATATTAAGCTGATATGATTAATGGAAGGAAATAATCTGCTATATGGTTTTAAAATTCTAGCCTAACTTTATTTAGAATTATGTAAGCCTAAGAGGTGATAGACTTAGAGATGTTCCATTCCAAAGCAAAAAGCAGAAATGAAGCTCCATTTTCATAGGCTATTGTGCAGACAGATTTTCTTGTCATGTTCTATTGCTTCTTTTGCCATCATTTTATCAAACTCTCTCATGCAAACTGTTTTCACTGTGACTGTAACTACCAAAAGGATCAGACAAGGTAAGTCTTACTGAAATGAGGCTTGTATACAATATAGAGATGGTTATTCCAAAGAGACCAGGAGGCTTGCTGTTTGCTTCCTACAGAAAATGTCAAGGTTTGCTGCTTTCTTATTAAAATCTCTGACACTATTGCTGCAAAGTCAAGGATTTAACTGGCTCAGGTGGTTGTTAGGGTTTCACGAAATTAAAACATAGAAGATAAAAAAGAAATATAAGAGAGCAAAAAAAAAAAGTTAAGTAGGTATTTTGAACAAGAAACTGTTTGTCTTCTCTGGAAAATACTAAGGCCAATCAGTGAACTGGGAAAACTTTGTGATATACATGACTGTATAAGTTAAGCCTGATCTTTAAAAAAATATTTAATTTTAAAATTATTTCACTTCCCCCTACACTTTGTCATTTTTCCCTCCAAATGGGACATGTTCTAAATCAGATGAAAGTCCTTGAAAACTTGTACATGCTGAAATTTGATAAAACATCCATATCACCACATAGCCTCAGGCATCCAATAAGTGAAAATCATTGAACCATTTGTTTTATCCAAGTCACAAAATGAAATATGCCACAAAATGCCCTCTAGTAATTATACATCTGATTATGAGGCTTGATTCTTTCTAATTTTGCTTGCTGCAATTGCTATTTCCTTGTCATAGTTCAAAGTATTTCCCAATGGATTTTAAAGACATGAATTTTATCATATCACTATATGCTTACTGGAAAGTATCAGTAAAAATGTATCCAGAATTCTTTTATTGTCATTTTACTATCTTTATTTCCTTATGTACTTTCAGAGGTGTGTTTGTGAGAACGAGATGGATCTACAGGGAACTCTGCTTATCAATTTCCTTTGATCACTCTTAGAAAGAAGGGACATGTTACTTCTGTAGTCATGCAGACCTGCAAACCTGTCCTGCACGCTTAAGAGCCTTGTGAATTCAAAGTTCGAGACAGAAAAATGTATGAAGAGTGAAACAAAATAGCTGTTGAATCACAACATGAAGTATTGCAACCTACAATGTCTGAAAGACTTGCCATCTCCCTTCCTGCACAATTTCTTTGACCATTATCAAAAAGTGAAGATATTCATGCCGATCCAGAACTTCCCCATAAATGTGAAACAGTCCTAGTGCATTGGATCTTCTATAGTTAATGCCACTGTCTGCACAGGCTGTCTTTGCCATCTGTGTGGATGAGAAAACATTGTTTACCATATCAATGTTTTTTATATGTCATTCTGTCCAACTGTGTTTAAATAAGTGCTTTCTATTTTGAAAAGCAGGGTAAAATCAGATAAAATAAAAAGGAAAAGTTTAAAGTTACTTAAAAAACTTGTGTTAGTGTGGCTTCAGATTGATTTTTTGCTTTGGTCAGTTTTAATGTGTGCTCTCTCTTTTGTGCAGAGCACACATTACAGCAGCAGTTATATTCTAATAAAGAAAATGTTTTACTTTGACCAAGAATTATTTGGATGTACAAGTATGGACTGTAAAGTACATTTACAAATAAATCTGAATTGGAGAATTGCCTTTCAACAGCTCATGAAACTTGAGCTGCTGCAGTGTCTCAACTGTGACTGATTTGCTAAATTAAGGTTATTTTTTGTTTAATTGTATTTTCCCATGAAAATGTTACATTCTTACTTTTCCTTTTAACAGGCAATTTTATTTGACTAAACTTGTAGTTCTCAGAATGATTGTACTCATGCACCAATAATCACATGCCTTAGAAATCTCTTGGTTACAAGAAAATGAGTGTCAACCCCAAGGGGTTTAAAGTGACCTAATGAGGCATGGAATGTCCCCACAGTTTGGTAGAAACCTGTGCTCAAGAAAGATGTTCTAACACAGAAAATAACCAAATCATTTTTCCAATGGAAGAACAAAGCTCATTTTCTGTTCCTTTCTTACCGAAAGCCCTTTTATTTTTCCTTCTGGAATACTGACAATGATTAGTTCACTTAAACTTCCAAATACTACAACAACAGCCTAATTGAAAACCAATTAAAAAAAACACTGGAAAATGATTACAGGAAAACATTACAGGAAAATTATTCTCTTCATGTAGCATTTTCAAAATACTGGCCAATAATTGCTGTAGCTGTGTGAACACAATCCTTGTGCTGTTCATCTGTCCCATAAAACAGGATAAATCTACCTAGCCAGCTTAAGCTTAGCAAAACACGCAAACAGAAATGTCATGGCTTTTTTTCCTCCTCTTTCTACTTTTTTGATTAGAAAAACAATGCACACTAAATAAACAAGCAAACTGTAATAAAAGAAAACAACAAAGAGCTGACAGGTAGAAAGCCAATTTTGAAAGCTTTTGATTTTAACTTCCCCTGACAATCTATCTTGAAGTTCATTGTAAAAAGGTAGGAGACATGTAAAGAGAGGAAATCAGCTGTCAACACTAATGCCACAGGAATCTGAGTGTGAAACCAGGCATGGAAGGCTGAATCATTCTTTGAAAAGTGGAGTTTTCCTCAACTATAAGAATTCTTGTGTTAAAATAACCAGCTTTTTTTATGCATGTGAGCAGTGTGTGCATAAGGAAATCACCATAGAAAGCTACATAGACTTTGACAATTATCCAGATTACTCATATAACAGAAATTACCTTAGCAAATGAAGAAAAAAAAATTTCCAAAACTGGAAATTCCTTTTACCATTTGAAAGGAGTGTATGAATCATTACAATTTTGAAAATATTACCTTCAGTGTCCTTTGTCAATATTAAAGAGAGGTAAAAAAGTTGTTTTCTGTCTAACAATTTTGTCTGTCATATAGAAAAGGGTCCTATTTTATACACTAGCTTTATTTGTGCTACTACCAAAGAAAAAGATTTATAAACTTTATATTTCTGACCTTTTTAAAGAACTCCTCAGAAAAGAGAAAAGGTCAAGCACATTCCCAAGGTCTTGTCAGAATTTCTCTAAGAGTTTGGTTGGATCTGGAACTATAGATTTTAATATTGTTTCATTCCTAAGGCTTATCTCCTCACCTCATTTTATGTTAATTCCATTACCCAAAATAAACTAAATGAAAGATTAAGCCATGATGCATGATTACATAAGCTTCCAATAAACATGTAATAATTTTTTAGTTCTCACATAATTAACAACCATAATGTATCACCTATTCTAGAAGGAGGATGGTAACCTCTTTTAAAAAAGAGGTTAATTGTTAAATCTGTTAACTGTATTACTGATCCCAGTAAATGCAAAAAGGGAGTTAAAAGATGGTTTCAAATAATGACACTGATGAGTTTTGTAAAAAAGAAAACTTATTTCGGAGGGAGTGAGAAGAGAGGGAACCATGTCTTGGTTTAAGACATGATCACTACTGATGAGAAAAACAGTATTAAGTAATCACTTAAAATAACAGGGAAATTGCCTCTGCAACCCAAAAGGCCCCTTGTACTTGAGTGGATTAGCAAGAAAAATTGCATCACATAGAGACATTTTTAGATGCATTGTTTGCTTCTCATAGGGTCTTACCACAAAATTAGAGAAGTTGGAATGCTTTACCACAAGATTAGAGATGTGTGAATGCTTGACAACAAGCTCTATGTGGTGGGAAAAAGAAGAAAGAGAAAAGGTGATACCTCAGAAATATTTGTCTACAGTTATTTTAAAGAACCGAAGTTTGAGATAGTAAAAATTAAAGACTGAAATGAGCCAAATTATATCAAATCATATGTATATTTTTGTCTCATTAACAATTTATATATCTGTAGAGGACAGATGCTGGATACAACACAAAGAGAGAGTATCTAACTCCTCTGCTTCAGGACATTGCAGTGTTTCTCAGTAGAAGTTAATGTGCTTTTCCAATTGATTTGCTCTGCTAGACAAGCTCAAGGACAGGTGAGGATCTGGTCATCATTCTGTTTTCCAAAGCAAAATTTCAGGATCTTAAACAGAGTGAAAATTAGAATTAATGAGAAAAGTAATGATACAGTGTAAGGTATTAAATACTTACCTGTGAGGACCTCTGACGCCCATTTCAGAAAATATCTAGTCTTGATTTATTACAGCCCCATAGGTTTTTAAAATGTGCAGTAAGCACCACTCCCCTATGCATTCCTGTCTGGCCATAGGACACAAGCTTTCCAGCTGTGTGGATGCTAGGGATTGGGAACGTTGGCCTGTTCCACCTGCTCTACCAAATGTTCAGCCAACGACTTGGGGAACCATGTCTGCTTGTCACCCAGCCCAACCCAGACTCCTCCTTGAGATAAGGATGGTTTTGTTTTGGAAAGGAGGGAAGTTATTGGAATTAGTGTAGACCTCTTGTTTTGCAAAAACATGGGGGAAAACAGCCCACCTCCACACCACTCAGGCAATCTACTGATTTCCCTGCTCCCCTCTCATGCCAAGGGTTTTGTGATTAATGTCAGGGGAAGTTACTCAAACCCCAAGTATTTTACAACAAGTCACAAAGTATTGGCAGATGAACCAAAAAGTTATCTAATTTTTACAATATTCAGGCTATTTGCCTCAAAGTCATTGCACTGAATAATTTTTGGCAATAAATTAATTTTTGATATCTTAAAATTTCAGTATAAAACTGCAGACACATAATGTACCATGAGGCACAAAAACTTACTTGTGAAAGAATAGTTTGATGATACTTTTCCTATCCCTTAAATCAAATATAGCACCTCTTGAAGCCTTTTCTCTTCCACAAGCTGTATATTTTACACCCAATACTACACTATCAAAATTAGCTGTGTTCCTTTAAACTAAGAAAGAAAAGAGTGCCTCTGAATCATGACTCTGAGCTGCAGCTGTTTAATTGAGCAAATGGAAATCAATTATTTTAGAAATATCAGATGTCACATTGCATTTGTTTCAATGTATTAATTTCCATTAAACTTCGTTGACTTCAGATAATTTTAATGATTCTTCTCCTCTGGGCAGACTATCACTTCCATCTCTTGGAGATAAAGGGGTTTTTTTTCAATTAATTTTAAGACAGTTTAAAAAATTTGTTCTCAAAAGAAATGGTATGAAAAAGGCTGAGAGATGAAAAGTATTTGGGTTAAAGGCTTGATTTTGAGTAACACGTATTATATTCACTGCTGGATTCCAATCAATTTACCTTTTGGCCTGTATACAATTGCTTGTAAGCCTTTTCTGAAGAAAAAAAAAGCTAAAATTATGGCAAAACCCTCACTTATTTATTTATTTCACTGTATTATATAGACACTTCACGCAGGAAAGACAGCCAGATATGAGTTGCTTTCATTTTTTAAGATTTTCTAAGCCTTCTGATGTTTACATTCTTGTAACGAACTTTCTCTCACACTTCTTGTAAACAGCTTGTTTTGCATTCTGTTATGGAAGAGGAGAAATTTAATGGACTGTTGGTTTGGTTTGTCCAGTGTCATTGGAGAGGTGGCACTTTCACCCTCCAATCCACTGTCACCTTTGGAAATCTATAAATGTTGGAATCAGAAAATAAACTACCTTTTTACCTCGAGAACACCAGCGTGTTCGCATCGTGTTTTTTCATGTCTTATAGTGACAGATATGCTTTATGTGGTACTGTTCCTTGAGAATTCACATGCATTGACATGTGCATTCTTTAAGGATTGTAAATTAACAAGATGTAGTTGATATGCTAAAGAGTTTTTTTTCTCCTGCTGAAGCTCTAGGACTTTCTTTCATCTTTCCAGACTCTAGTTTTCATCAATCACTTGCTTTTCTGGGGGCCTCAAAGATTTGATTGCCATCATTAAGTGCTGGCCTTCAAGGCCACATAGCCAGTCCTTCATCTCTGTGAATGACAGACTAATGTAAACACAGGATTAGATTACTTTTAAAGAATACGATTCACTGCTATTCTTATTTCCCACACAACAAAATATAATCAAATGTTTTCCCTCTGTTAAAACGTGAACAGAATTTCAAGTTTTACCTTTCCTATATAAAAGCTTGCTTCTATTTCACTCAAACTTGGGCAGTCCCCAGCTGGAGTTTTAGGTCATGAGTACCATGCAGCACTGCCCACTCTGCTTTACAAAGCCTGCTTCTGAGATACT